TTTTGATTTCCCCGGGCTTCATTTGCATATTGCCGGGCGCCGCCATTTTTTAATGTCCGCTAGTGCGGACTCCATGCCGCGTGTAGCCGCACGGCACGGAGTCCACACTAGCGGACATTTAAAAATGGCGGCACCCGGCTTTATGCAAATGAAGCCCAGGAAATTCAAATCCTGGGCTTCATTTGCAACTCCAGTTGCCTACATTACCACCCTAGTTCGAACTAGGGTGGTAGTGTAGACATACCCTTACATCCCTATTCTAGGCAGTATTTATGAGTTTTAGGGTAGTTGAGCATGCAGCTCTAAAATACCAGGTGTAGAACAAGAATTTAAATATGCTTATTGATATCATTTTAAATATGATGCCAAAATGTGTTTAAAAAGGCAATGAAGTAATAAAAAGGAAGAATGATGATGATGTCATCTGGGAGATGAATTACAGAATAACTATTCAATTGCAGATTGTTTTTTTTAAAACAAACTTGGGTGCTCTTGACACCTCTTAATGATAGACATTATATATGCTAACACATATTTAAATATCTAGGTACGTGAAACTGTTTAAATGTTTCATAGCTATTTCTTCATTTTTAAAAATTACAGTTTGAATATGACACTGGATTTTTGGTTGTCATGAACCATTATTGGTAGTAAATCCAGTACATGTAGTAGTTCCCATACAGGTAATAAGACCGTCTTTCAGATAGTTTTACAAAAATGAATATATTGCAAAGCTTGTAAAATAAAATGTATACTAGGATATAATTAAGTAATAATAGATAAGAGGATGCTGTGTTATGAGGAGTGGTTATTTAAGATTGTTGTTGCAGTTTTCAAATATAGGTGCCTAAATGCTGATTTTAATGCTCCATCTTTCAAACCAACATGTGGGTAACTTTATTGCTGTCTTTCAATTGATATAAATAGAACTGTTTTCTTAAGCAAAGTTATATGTGTGAATATATGAAGGATTGGACATTTAAATAAGCACTTGGGACCAAATCCTGATTCCATTAAAGTCATTGGCATGACTCCCTGTGATTTCAGTGGCCTTGGGATTTGATCCATGGATAGATGCTAAATGAGTTTAAATATGGATTGTTGTAGCTAATTTTGAGCAGCCATTAGCAAAGTAGATCTTCTATTGTAAGGCTCAAAGCCAGAGGCAATGATATATAATTTTTACCTTGTGTTGGATTTTGTTTTTATAAAACAGGCTTAAAAATAACCTGTTCCTCAGAGAAGAAAAGATATGTGTCCGCAAGCCTGTTAGTTAAAGTCTACTTTGCAGTGACCAGTTAGATATCTTGCTGAATGCTGTTTCATAATATGATTAGAGTAGTATACCTTGCAAATTGTGTATAGTCATGCCCCATATCCTGTATCATGTATCCTACATAATGTTTTCCATATGAAGCTTATTTACAAAAGATTGTCCAAAAATATCAGGAAAATCCTCAACTTTATAAGAATACAAGAATCAGGTAATCTGTTTTTACGTTTGACTACATACATGGGTACAATATAAGCAATTTAGATTCCACTCCTCAAATAATGCCCCATTTTCACTGAGCTACTCTATTAACTGCTCTACAGGTTATATTTTTTAATGTTGTTTGCAGTTGCCAACATATACAAAATATAAAATTATATTTACCTTTACTTCTTTTTTGGGAGCATAAGTTTTAACTGTGCCATATCAAATTGTCATTCTTCCTAAATTTGAAATTAATATTTAAGTTTTATCTGCTTTCTGTGAGTGTGTGGAATATTAAGTTTGTAGATTTAATTACAGTTTTTCATTTCAAGGGAATAGAGCCTCATGGATAAGTGTGATCAGTTGGAATGCCAATGTTTATGTTGATTTAAATCAATTACAAATGTCAGCCTATGAAAACAAAGAATTAGTTTTAGTTTCACAAACTACAGTTTTTGCAAATTATACAAAAATACTGTAATGAATTACTTATCTGTGACTATGCATCACTTGCTAACAATTCTGGTTTTTAAAATGTATATGATGCCTTTGATGCATAAAATTTATAACAGTATTTCCAAAACTTATTATATTGACCTGCAATAGATTACAGAATAACAGTTTGTTGTCTTTATTTGCTAAGCAAAATATATTAAATTTGTTTTTACTGAATGTTAAATTACAATAACTGCACTATATTACCATAAAAGGCATATTCCATAAAATTACATTTCTGTTTTATAAAAATTACAGTTTTTTCTTCTTAATATAATGAAAATGTGTAATCTGTACAAAATTACTAGGCAATTACAAATATTTGGTGATATCAGCTTAAGAAGAACCCCGTATTCTGCATGTTTTATAAGATAAGAAGCTTTTTTGAATAAATATCCCAGGTCTTTGTTCAAAATTTAAGTCTCCCTGCCAATGAGGGATTTAAAATTAATGTTGCTAAGCTCTGAAGAATGCTATCAGGACTGTTCCCCACTCTGGCACTCTGAGTGCAGAAGATGGGGGCCTGTAAGAGACCTTAAATATCTTGCCTCTATAGGCTCTGTTTACAAAAACTTCCCAGAGTCCCAGATGCACTAGCTCTGAGAAAAACAAAAACTGCTACCATCAAGTATACTAGAATACTAGCATACTCAAGGAACTGAGGGTATGTCTACACTACCACCCTAGTTCAAACTAGGGTGGTAATGTAGGCTACCGGAGTTGCAAATGAAGCCCAGGATTTGAATTTCCCGGTCTTCATTTGCTTATTGCCGGGCGCCGCCATTTTTAAATGTCCGCTAGTGCGGACTCCTTGCCGCGCGGCTACACGCGGCACGGACTAGGCTTCCTCGTTCCACAAGGAGTAACAGTAGTTTGGAATAGGAAGCCTAGTCCGAACTACCTAGTCTGTGTAGCCGCGCAGCACGGACTCCGCACTAGCGGACATTTAAAAATGGCGGCGCCCGGCAATAAGCAAATGAAGACCGGGAAATTCAAATCCTGGGCTTCATTTGCAACTCCGGTAGCCTACATTACCACCCTAGTTTGAACTAGGGTGGTAGTGTAGACATACCCTCAGTTCCTTGAGTATGCTAGTATTCTAGTATACTTGATGGTAGCAGTTTTTGTTTTTCTCAGAGCTAGTGCATCTGGGACTCTGGGAAGTTTTTGTAAACAGAGCCTATAGAGGCAAGATATTTAAGGTCTCTTACAGGCCCCCATCTTCTGCACTCAGAGTGCCAGAGTGGGGAACAGTCCTGATAGCATTCTTCAGAGCTTAGCAACATTAATTTTAAATCCCTCATTGGCAGGGAGACTTAAATTTTGAACAAAGACCTGGGATATTTATTCAAAAAAGCTTCTTATCTTATAAAACATGCAGAATACGGGGTTCTTCTTAAGCTGATATCACCAAATATTTGTAATTGCCTAGTAATTTTGTACAGATTACACATTTTCATTATATTAAGAAGAAAAAACTGTAATTTTTATAAAACAGAAATGTAATTTTATGGAATATGCCTTTTATGGTAATATAGTGCAGTTATTGTAATTTAACATTCAGTAAAAACAAATTTAATATATTTTGCTTAGCAAATAAAGACAACAAACTGTTATTCTGTAATCTATTGCAGGTCAATATAATAAGTTTTGGAAATACTGTTATAAATTTTATGCATCAAAGGCATCATATACATTTTAAAAACCAGAATTGTTAGCAAGTGATGCATAGTCACAGATAAGTAATTCATTACAGTATTTTTGTATAATTTGCAAAAACTGTAGTTTGTGAAACTAAAACTAATTCTTTGTTTTCATAGGCTGACATTTGTAATTGATTTAAATCAACATAAACATTGGCATTCCAACTGATCACACTTATCCATGAGGCTCTATTCCCTTGAAATGAAAAACTGTAATTAAATCTACAAACTTAATATTCCACACACTCACAGAAAGCAGATAAAACTTAAATATTAATTTCAAATTTAGGAAGAATGACAATTTGATATGGCACAGTTAAAACTTATGCTCCCAAAAAAGAAGTAAAGGTAAATATAATTTTATATTTTGTATATGTTGGCAACTGCAAACAACATTAAAAAATATAACCTGTAGAGCAGTTAATAGAGTAGCTCAGTGAAAATGGGGCATTATTTGAGGAGTGGAATCTAAATTGCTTATATTGTACCCATGTATGTAGTCAAACGTAAAAACAGATTACCTGATTCTTGTATTCTTATAAAGTTGAGGATTTTCCTGATATTTTTGGACAATCTTTTGTAAATAAGCTTCATATGGAAAACATTATGTAGGATACATGATACAGGATATGGGGCATGACTATACACAATTTGCAAGGTATACTACTCTAATCATATTATGAAACAGCATTCAGCAAGATATCTAACTGGTCACTGCAAAGTAGACTTTAACTAACAGGCTTGCGGACACATATCTTTTCTTCTCTGAGGAACAGGTTATTTTTAAGCCTGTTTTATAAAAACAAAATCCAACACAAGGTAAAAATTATATATCATTGCCTCTGGCTTTGAGCCTTACAATAGAAGATCTACTTTGCTAATGGCTGCTCAAAATTAGCTACAACAATCCATATTTAAACTCATTTAGCATCTATCCATGGATCAAATCCCAAGGCCACTGAAATCACAGGGAGTCATGCCAATGACTTTAATGGAATCAGGATTTGGTCCCAAGTGCTTATTTAAATGTCCAATCCTTCATATATTCACACATATAACTTTGCTTAAGAAAACAGTTCTATTTATATCAATTGAAAGACAGCAATAAAGTTACCCACATGTTGGTTTGAAAGATGGAGCATTAAAATCAGCATTTAGGCACCTATATTTGAAAACTGCAACAACAATCTTAAATAACCACTCCTCATAACACAGCATCCTCTTATCTATTATTACTTAATTATATCCTAGTATACATTTTATTTTACAAGCTTTGCAATATATTCATTTTTGTAAAACTATCTGAAAGACGGTCTTATTACCTGTATGGATGGCTCCATCTTCTAATGCATTAGTACTTCCGCCATGAAAGAGAGGGTTCATGTATCATGTTGTTGAGAGCACCACCAAGTCTCTAATCATTTTCCCCCACTTAAAGTAGTAAGAACTGTGAAAGGATATCATATTTCACAATGGAAAAAATGTATGCTTAATAATAAATCTATTTACTATGTGCCAACAGTTTCATGAAAACTTAGAAACTTGTCAATCTGAAATCTAGTCAGCTTTTGAAAAACAGAACAGAAACGTTTCCCAGCCCCAACCATACATTTTTAAAATTCTTCCCCTCTCTCTTCTGATGCTATGTGAAAGAGCCACACTAGTATGAGAAACTGACTAAAACAAAAATTAAATATACACCTTAAAAGCTGGACCCCTGCCAACAACACAAAATGCTATCAAAACCACATAGGGTCATTGATTCTGATAGAGCTACTTGGATAAATAACCACTCATTAATTAATAAAGGGTTCCAAGTCTAGAAAATAGATAAGTATTGTTTTTGCTGATTTCCTTGTTATAGTAACCAATGGTGCTGTTACCTGTAACAACTGAAATGTGATTTTTACACTAACAGTATGTTTTTTCTTTAAAGGGACACACTAAATTTGGCTCAATTCGGCATTTTTGTTATAACCCCCCCAAAACAAGAGATGTGAATATGTACCCATTTACACAATTAATTGCCTGGGGTCATTGGTTAGTCCTAATAGTTACATACAATGTGCCTCGCCCACCCCCACCTCTGTATCAGAGACTGTGGGGGGAAGGGGAAGTGGGAGATGGTGCTTGCAGGGAGTTGGATTAAAAACTGGCTCCCCCTGAGCACCAGCTCCCTCAGAGCCGCCTGACTACCCCTGAGGTGGGTGGAGGGGGAGGGCAGAAGCAGGGATGGTGCACATGGGAGCCAACTTTTAAGAGGACACCTGAAGTATACCAACTTCCACAGAGCCCCTCCCCCAGTGCCTCTGATGCAGAGGCAGTGGCATAGGCAGGCAGGCTCTGCTACGTGTAGGTAGCTGTCTTAAAAGCTGGCTCCCTATGAGTACTGGCTCCCACTTGCCCCCTCCCATGTGTAAATGTGTACCCACTATAAACTTCAGTGGTTACACATTCACAAAAATAAACACATTTTAACATTCCTATCCAAAATCCCGTGTCAAAAAAAATCTAAGGTTAACAGAACTTTAATTCCATTAAAAAAATCCCTTTGGTGTTTGCATCAAACATTGCAGCACCGTATTGGTGCTTGAGAATTTAAAAGTGAAACAACTACACCTGGAACCAATGGAGCAGTTCAAGTTCAGTTTCTGTTGCTTTAGGAAAAATAGGACTGGAGCAACATATTCTTTGTGAGGGGACATTCTCTGTGTACAACAGACATCACAAGTCTGAAACAGCCCAAGTCTACTGACCTTCAGAACACATTGAGAAGTACATCTATTTATGCAGGTTACTAAGAAGGTGGGCTTTGAGAGCAATCAGATTTGAAGTAAACAAGGAGTTTGATCATTGGTAGGTGGTTCAAATTTGGGTTTGTAATTCATTATACAGCACTTAAAACCTTAGTTATGAACCCCTTTTTATTTGTTATTTGTTTCATAAATCTAAATAAACAAACCTTCATAAACAAATGTGAAACTGTTTAGTTTATTTTCACTGGCCTACCTAAAAGCAATGAAAACAAAACAGTATAGAGAAAAATAAATGAGACTTTAAAATTCTTCAGTTTTAATCTGAAATGTTACTAGAAACTAGGGATGTAAAATCCCATTTAATTGGTTAACCAGTTAAATTAAATGTTTAACCAGTTAACCGATTAAAGGTAGAATAGCTGCAGGGGCTGCTCAAGCCTGACTGGGCTGAAGTGACTCCCCCACATCGCTGCGGACAGGCCGGAATGGCTTGCCACCATGGACAGGGTGGGCAGGGAGCTGCTCCAGCCCTAACCCGTTAACCAGAAATATTAAGTGTCACCTATTAAGGGTGGGGCTTAACATTTAACCATTCACATCCCTCCTAGAAACAATATTTTTTGAAACATTACTTTGAATGTAAGAGAATTCCTTAAAGGAAACAAAGCAAAATAAATATTTCCAACTGCCCCCCCCCCCACACGGCATATTAATTAGTGTATCATATAGTGAAACAAATAGTATGCTGAAATCTCACACAGATACATGAAGATTAAGGGCAATTGTTTAAGGAGAGTCTGTTTCCTTTAATTTTTACAGAAATCTAAGATGCTATACAAATTATGCAAATATCAATTCAGAATTAAAATGTATTTGATAAAGATGCTAACATTTTACATCCACAATGAACTGTCCATGTATAATGAAAAGTTTAAATATTGAACACATTTAAACAAATTAAACTAGATTACATTAACTGCTGTCTACAATATCCCTCTTCCAAAGAACTAAAGTCACAATCTCCACCACTCAAATGTTGCAACTACTGTATATGTCTTTGCAGAAAGTGCTGCATCTATCCACCTCCTTCCCCTCCCAGCAGCAAGCACTTAAGTTGGGGCTGCCCCTCATTGTGAATTTTGTCACTGGTTTGCTGATTCGTGTGGAAGGCAATATTAGCTTCCAGGAAAACCGTGACCATATGTCAGGTAACAGCAACAGGCTCACTTTATAACCCACTCCCTTGGCGAAACCAGTTCAAGCGAACTGATTAGTTCCACTTCTGGGAAAAATCCGGATTAAAAAATCCGGAACAAATGCCACCTAACGCCTCCACCCCTTTCCACCCAGAGCAAATGTTTTCCTCTCTGTCCAAACAACCGGTGGTGCAAGAATTACTTTCCTCGGTGCCCTCATCCCGCTACTGTAGGCAATGGGCTTAGCGGTGCAGCACGGGATAGGGTGGCCATACGGGCTGCACGAGATGTCGGGGATGGACACGCGAATGGAAGCGAGGGACGGAGTTGGGTGGCGCTGTGGGATGGAAGTGGGGCAGGCGGTGAGGTGGGATGGAAGGAGACGCAGTGTGGGGAGCAGGAGGCTGCATGGGATGGGATGCCGTATGGGGTGGGGGTGAGGAAGAAAGCTGCATGGGCTGGAGGGCGGCCGAAAGGGAGCGGGAAACGCAGAGAGCTACATGGGATGGGAGAGGCAGCACGGGCTGCTTGGGACGGGGGTGGCCCTATGGGCAGCGGTGAGGCAGGAGCCTGGGGGCGGAGGGAGCGGGCAGGGGGTGTCCGGGTGGGTGGCCAGGGCAGCGGAGTCCGGTGCCTGGGGAGGGACGGGAGGGGTTTACCTGCTGCTCCCGCTTGGCTCCGCCGGGGCGGCAGAGTCCCCGCGTGTCCCTTCATGCCCCGGGGGCCGCCGCACCCGCCCTGAGGCACGAGCCGTCATCCAGTCTCCTCCCCGCTCCCGGACTCCGCGGCTGCCCCAGGTGCTGCGCGCACAGCGGGCGCCGCCGCCACTCGGGGGAGCCGCGGAGAAGGGACGGAGACTCCCAGGCGGCCTCCCCCCCCCCCCCCGCATCGTGCGTCCGTCCCCGGACTCCGGGGCTCGCCCGCCCCAGCCGCGAGACAGCCTCCACCCGCGCCCCGCTTCGCAACGGCCGCCGCCCGCCCCTTTGCCTCACACACACCCCGCGCGCGCGGCTGGCACGTGCCGCGGCTTCCCGCTTCCCTCCCTCCCCCTCCCCGCCGGCACGCGCCCCTGCTTCCTCGCCAGGCAGCTTGCGCCGGCCCCTTTCGCCTGCCAGGCGCCCAGGCGGCTCCTGCCTCCGCGTGGGTGCGATTCTATCTAGTCTATGGGGTAAATGTCTCCCTCCAGGGGGCAGCCTGCGGGGTGAGGCCAGCTGTGCCTTGGGCAGGTGGGAGGGTGGCGCTATGCCGGTAGCCTTTTTGGCAGCAAGGGCACACTGGACTCGTATCCAGCTTCTCTCCACTCTCATCCCTAGGTGCTTTACTGCAGCGCTGCCACTTAGCCAGTCCCCGCAGTGCTTGGGATTCTTCTGTCCTAAATGCAGGACTCCACACCTGTCCTTCAGGAAACTCATCGGATATCTTTTGGCCCAACACTCCTCTCTGTGGAGGTCACTGTGGGGCTGATCCCTACTCTTTGACCAGTTGACCAGTGCAATACTGCACACGTATTTCGAAATAAGCTATTCTGGAATGGTTATTCCAAAATAGCTTATTTCAAAATAGCACATCTACTCTGCAGAATTAGTGCAAGGCATCAGGGCCGACCCGAGCCATTTTGGCACCCCGGGCCCTGAGCAGGCGGTGCTGCCCTGGGCGCACGGCGCATGCGCGGGCCCACCCCCAGGGCACATGGGCCTACTCCCGGGCTCATGGCACATGCGTGAGCCAGCCCCAGGGCTGTCTAGACGCAGCCTCTTTGTCTGTGAACATGCTGCAGGCTGCTTCTGGGGCACAGCTTGGTTTGCAGTCCAGGAGAGGCAGGTAACCTGCCTTAGGACCTCCGGCTGCACTGCTGATTGGGAGCCGCTGAAGGTAAACCTCTCCTGCCCCAGCCCTGACCCCCACCCCACAATCTGAAGCCCACTCCTATACTCCAAAGCTCTCATCTTCAGCCCCACCCCAGAGCCCATCCACTATTTAAATTATGTCTGGTTATGGCATCAACAATTTTCTTCAACTGGGTCATTAGAAAAAAAGTTTGAAAACCACTCATCTAGATCATTAGTGAAGATGTTAAAGAAAATTGGCCCTAGGACAGACCTCTGGGACCAGGGCCAGATTAAGCCAGGCCCTCAGGCTAAGGGGGTGGAGCCACTTGTGGTCAGAACCTCATGGCCAGAGGCTGTTCTTCACACCCCTTCCTGCATTTCAAAATCCCCCACCAGATCAAAATCCCATCCTGCACCCAAATTTCCTCTCAGAGGCGCAATCCTCACTCTCTCCTGCACCCCAACATTCTGTCTCAGTGTAGAGCCCCACAGCACAAAAACACCCTCCCAGAAAGAAACTAATATAACTGCTGTTCAGGAAAGAAGTAGGCTATTTTGAATTAACCATAGTCCACATGTTTTACAACTGAAATGTGATCACAGAATGGCTTTATGTTACTAAAAGGCAATTTTATTATAATGTTAATAGCCTCAATGCCATAATTTCGATAATTTTGTTTTAAATTAGGAAAAAGACTTGTATAAGGGGCCCTAGAAAATCTAATATCCCCATACCCACAGGAGAATTAATCCAGCCCTGCCCGGGGAACTTAACTTCATACTGGCTACAAACTAGAGATCAAGCCATTAATGACTACCCTTTGAGCCTGACAATCTCGCCATCTTTCTACCTACCTTATGGTCCAAACCATAGTACTTTAAATTGCCAGCAAGAATACTGTGGCATATCAAAATCTTTGCTAAAGTCAAGGTATATCACATCCACTGCTTGCCCCATATTCACAGAGCCAGTTATCTTATTATAGAAGGCAATGATTTTGGTTAGGCATGACTTGATATGTTGTCTGTTCCTGATCACCTTCCTCTCCTCCAAGAGCTTCAGAATGTATTCCTTGAGGACCTGCTCCATGATTTGTCTAGAGAGTGAGGTGAGGCTGAATGATTTGTAGTTCCTTTTTTTTTAAAGGTGGGCACTACATTTCCCTTTTTCCAGTTGCCCAGAACCACCTCCAATCACCACAAGTTTTCAAAGATAATGGCCAATAGTTCTGCAGTCACATAAACCAACTCTTTCAGCACCCTCAGATGCATTGCATCTGGTCCCAGGAACCTGTGCATATCCAACTTTTCTAAATAGTCCTTAATCTGTTCTTTGACCATTGAAGGCTCCATACTTTCTCCCCATACTGTACTAATAGCAATAAATACAGCCACTCCCCGAGTTATGACCACCTCCACTTATGACCATCCGTACTTACGACCAAAGCGGTTGTAAATGCGGATGCAAGTTACGAACGGCAATCTGCGCTTACGAACAGTGCAGTTGCCATGTAACTCTATGGGATCCAATATACGAACACTTCGAGTTACGGACCAAGTGTTGATCCGTAACTTGTTCGTAACTCAGGGAGCGGCTATACTTCACACATTGCAAAATTCAACTTTCTCTCCAAAAATAAGTTATTAGAATGGGAGATTTTTCTCAGTAAGCTGTGAAATAGCTCTGTTTTGATGTGGGAAACTAATGTGCAGTAGAATCCTGTTTACCTGAAACATTTTGGGAATTATTTAAATTTAGATAAATGGGGGCTCAGATAAGTGAAGGTGAGAGCTGTTGTGTACATTATGAACTGAGAGGGGTCTTGAACACCAAACTGCCTCATGAGTGGGGATTTAGGCCCAAATTTTCATATTTATCCTTATTCATGAGTGACAAATTATACATCCATTGGTAATTCCCATTGGCCATGTCAACACTAGGAAATTATTTCAAATTTACTAAATTCAGCTTATGGACTCCTAATTTAATTAATCTGAACTTCCATGTCCTCGCTATGGGGGAACATTGAAATTAGTCCAAGGCAGGCTCCCTAATGTCAATGCGCAACTTCAGACTCAGAGCCCTAGGAAGCACTCTGAGTTGCTGTGGGAGGCCATTTAGTTCGAATTAGCGACTCCAGAGCATTCACATGAACATTATTTCAGACTTACAAGTTTGGAAATAGCGTTATTCCTCATGAAAAGTAGGAGTAAAGAATTCGAATTTTGTGGCCCCTTATTTTGGAATAGCGGGCTTGGTAGTGTGAAAGCACCGTTTATAAATTCAAACGTGGGGCAGTGGTGGTATTTCAAACTAAGGTCCTAGAGTAGACCAGGCCATAGAGTGACATAGCCAACAGTAATGAGCAGCTCACCAAATACTGATTTTATTATTATTATTATTATTATTATTATTATTATTATTATTATTATTATTATTATTATTATTATTATTATTATTATTATTATTATTATTATTATTATTATTATTATTATTATTATTATTATTATTATTATTATTATTATTATTATTATTATTATTATTATTATTATTATTATTATTATTATTATTATTATTATTATTATTATTATTATTATTATTATTATTATTATTATTATTATTATTATTATTATTATTATTATTATTATTATTATTATTATTATTATTATTATTATTATTATTATTATTATTATTATTATTATTATTATTATTATTATTATTATTATTATTATTATTATTATTATTATTATTATTATTATTATTATTATTATTATTATTATTATTATTATTATTATTATTATTATTATTATTATTATTATTATTATTATTATTATTATTATTATTATTATTATTATTATTATTATTATTATTATTATTATTATTATTACATCTATAAGACCAATCAAAATCTGGACTCCACTAAGCTTAGTGTATACAAAAGATGCCTTAAAGATGCTTTACAATCTAAATAGGGACAAGACGTGGGAAGGAGAAAAGTCTTCCTGTATGACAAAAGATAGAGGAGGAGTAGGGAGACAAGGATGAAGGTACAAAGATATATTCGTCTTCCTTCTTTATCTTTCTCTCCAGACAAGATATATTTAAGTGAGTGTAATGAATTAACTGTAATGAATCACTAACACACCACAAGCCTAGCAATTGTCAGTTTACAAGGAATGTCACTGTCAAGGTGGGTTTTGAGAAAGGACTTGGTAGAGGACAAGATAAGAGGACCGATTGAACGCCCATAGAAATAATGGGTCTATTTTAATTGACTTTGATGAACTTTGGATCAGTGCAAATGGCTATGTGAATTGATTTAGGAATTTATTACACACATAAGGGACAACATTAAAGAACATGTAAGTGTATTCTGATCTCCAGCATTTACCTGTCATTTCTGTATAATATTTGTTAACACTCTGTAGTAAAAAAAGTGGTACCCCAACTCCATATTTGATGCCACTGTTTCCTATGGCTGTCCCATCTCACAACATAGTGATTCTTTTACAACTGTTTGAGAAGCACTGGTGGTTTCCCACTTCCAGGTATTCCATAAAGAGCTTCTATTACAATGGTGAAGTGTCTACCAGAGGGCGGTCTAGGGTCTATCCTGACCACCTAATCCATTTTAAAGGTGTTTAACTATCAATGTAAACCTCTAGTCAGTGTGTATTATATGTCCCCCTCTGTACGTGATCCACAGAGAATGTAATTCTGTTACAGTCCCCATCTACAAAGCCTGAGTCTTCAGCTCAAGATGTAGAGACTCATTCATGCTTAAATTTGACACTTTACGCCAGGGGCTTAACAAAGACACTAATTATTTTACCCATTACAAAGATAGCTTCCCCAATTATCACCTTTAATATCATTAGCTCACAGACATTTACGTTCTCCCCCCCATCCCTCCTCTGAACTGAAATTTGATTTGTCCTTTTTATATGTGTTCACTTTTTTTTATTGTATCCCTTTGG